TACATTTTACCTCTTGGACTTTACTTGTGCCATTCCTGTCACTAGGACTTCCTAATCTACCATCTCCTCTTGGAAGATTCTATCTGTTCCACAGCGGTCCCCTTGAACGTTGCTGCCTCCAAGAACTCTTACCCAATTGTAATTTCTCTCGGGTTGCTGAGCTTTCTCTGCACATCTCTGAAAAAGCTGACCTTACCCTTCCTGCGTTTTTGTAACGTCTTAGCTGCCTGTTCTCCTGCTCCTTCTGATGGTAGAGATTTCTCTGATTCAAACCAAACTAATATGGAGATAAACATTCAGCCACAGCCCAGTCAAGCTGCAAGTGAGTTTGGATAGTGTGTTAACTAACTCTGCATCTTTTTCATCTAGAGCGGGCTACTTGGATGAAGATCAGATGCGGGTGCTCTTGGAGCGGGCTCAGACAGAAGTCTTTTCTATAAAACAGAAGTTGGACAATGACTTAAAGCAGGAAAAGAAAAAACTCCACCAAAAATTAATAATTAAGAGAAGACGAGAGATGCTGCAAAAGGTATATAAGGAATTATGCTCTTGATTCTTTACATAGCCATTGTGAACACCCACCAAGTGCCGGGTTCCATGCCAGGCACTGCCATCAGAGGGCTAGAACCCAAAGGGCAACTGGGCAGGCATCCTGATGTGCCATCTACAGTTGATTGGTAGTGACTTTTTGGAATGCTGTGTCAAGATTTCTACAGGTCCTAGCAAAGCTGAGGGTTGCAGTAGGTTAGTAATGTCTGCCAGGGCAAGGGAATAGGAGTGCTGGTTCCAGTGAATAATGACTGATGGGTGCTACAACATTTATGGAGTGTTTAATTGGCACTGTGCTAAGTGTATTATGTATTTTATTTAATCCTTACATTAGCCCTATGAGGTAGATGCTACTGTTTTCTCTTTTTTTTGTTTGTTTTTGCGGTACGCGGGCCTCTCACTGTTGTGGCCCCTCCTCCGGACATGCAGTCTCAGCGGGCATGGCTCACAGGCTGCTCCGCGGCCTGTGGGATCTTCCCAGACCGGGGCAAGAACCCGTGTCCCCTGCATCGGCAGGCGGGCTCTCAACCACTGTGCCAGCAGGGGAGCCCTGTTTTCTCTTTTTTTAATGAAGACTTTGAGGCTGAGAGGGCTTAAGTGTTGTGATCTATTTGGGCTGCTATAACAAAGTACCAGACCGGGTGGCTTATAAAGAACCAAAATTTATATCTCACAGTTCTGGAGGCTGGAAGTCCAAGATCAGGGTGCCAGCAAGGTCGGGTTCTGGTGAAGGCCCTCTTCTGGTTGCAGACAGCTGACTTCTTGCTGTTAGAAGTCAGAAGGGTGGCAAGGGGGAGGGAGCTTGGTGGGTGAGTGTGGGGCCTCTTTTATAAGGGCACTAATCCCATTCAGGGGGCTCCACCCTCATGACCTATGCACCTCCCCAAGGTCCCCTCTCCTAACACCACCATGTCCCATGTTAGGTTTCAACATATGGATGTTGGGGGAACACAAGCATTCAGATCACAGTATTAAGTAATGAGGTCAAGGTCACATGTTTAGTGAGTGGCAGACGTGGAATTTAGCCCAGGCCTGTCTGACTTAGAACCTCAGCCTTGTCCTTGACACTGACCCGCTCAGCTGTTTGTGAACCTCGAGAGGGGAGAGACCAACCGGCAACCACAGAAAGGCATCATGTACTCCCTACATGCTCTGGCAGCACAGAGAGGAAGTCACTGTCTCCTGGGAAACCCGAGTTCTGGGGGACAAATGAGCAAGGCAGGAAGGACACTGCAGGGGATGGGGAGGCGTCTTGTTCAAAGGTGAAGCTCTCAGGCGAGGGTGCCCCGCTGTGCGTGGAGCTCCGAGAACATGAGAGCTGGGAGGGCAGAGGGCAGGGGCTGGAGGAGGCACGCCTGGGAAGCAGCACCTCGTCAATGAGGACAGTGTGCCGGGCTGGCAGCTGACCTTCATTCGAGGACAGTGGGGAACATTGAAGCGTTTTCAGGAGGAGAAGTGATGCCAAAAACTCGGCCTCTGTGCGCCGGTGCTGAATCAAATCTCGGAGACAGAGTTTTGGGTGAGGTAGAAAAGAATAGCTTTATTGCTTTGCCAGGCAAAGAAGGACGCAGTGGGCTCCTGCCCTGAAAAACTGTGTGTCCCAACCCGGGAGGGTTTGGTGATGAGTTCTGTAGCAGTGGTTCAAGGGCGGAGATGCTGCTAAGGATCAGGGTGTGCACAGTGCCCGCAGTTCCTTAATCTGGCCTCAGGTGGTCTCCTGATGAGCAGGTTATTACCTTCTCTGGAATGAAGAATGCTAACATCTTCCATTAGTTGGGCGTTTTAGTTCTGTAAAAGAGCTCAAAGATACTGTTATGTGTATCCCTTGGGGCGGCACCAGGACCCTGCCCCAAGGCTGCACTATTGTTTCTTGGCTGCCCCTCCCTTGTCTCTGCCTCCCCTCCCTTCCCTGATTAGCAGCTCTTCAAAAGGCTCCCATGCCCAGGAGCCCCACAGGTCCTGCTCAGTTTCAGAAGGAAGATCAGATTTGGGATTTAGGAAGCTCATGTGAGCAGCCTGCGATAGAGTTGGAGGAGCCCCAGGCTGTAGACCGTGACCAGGTCAAAATGATGAGAGTGTGTCCTGAGCATAGGAACAAGGACAGATTCAGAGGAGATACTAGATACATGGGATAACACAGGGGGTTGTCTGGTGCTATTCGGGAGGGAAAGGGAAACAATAACTTAATTTGGTTGATTAAAAACTCTGCTTTTATTATCAAGTGTTGGGCCCAGCATTCTCACCTGGACCATTGAACTCCACCCCATCTTTAGCATCACCTCATCCATCTCCACTGGCTCAAGGATCAAAGCAATGAGGCCCAAGAGCACACTTCTCTGATGGTCTGGCCTGGTTCAAGGCTAGGATCTGGAAGGATGGAAGAACTGCATATATTTCAGCAGTTTGCCATGAGTACTCTTTCTTACGGCTGCTTTTGATAAATCTTGTGAGTGGTACAGTGTTAGAACATAGCTCCACAAAGGCACAGGTTTGTGTCATATCCTCAGCTCTGAGGACACATTGTAGGTGCTCAGCCAATATTGTAGAAGGAAGGAATTGACACTCTCTGGTCACCAGGACCTATGAACAAGACATATTTGCACAAAATAGAACCCAGACTGTCCACAGGTGCACTATTGTTAATAATACCGTGATGTACATCTCTATGCATGTCAGCTTTTTCCCAGCACAGGGCCTTTATGCCTACTGCTCTTTCTCCCAGGAATATCCTTTCCCCCATCTTAACCCAACTGAGATATGACCTCATCCCTCAGGTCTCCCTTGGGTCTCCTTCTTTTTCTTTTTTTTTTAAAGAAGAAGATGTTGGGGGTAGGAGTTAATTAATTAATTAATTTATTTATTTATGGCTGTGTTGGGTCTTTGTTTCTGTGTGAGGGCTTTCTCTAGTTGTGGCAAGCGGGGGCCACTCCTCATCGCGGTGCGTCGGCCTCTCACCATCGCGGCCTCTCTCGTTGCGGAGTACAGGCTCCAGACGCGCAGGCTCAGTCGTTGTGGACCACGGGCCCAGTCGCTCCGCGGCTTGTGGGATCCTCCCAGACCAGGGCTCGAACCCATGTCCCCTGCATTAGCAGGCAGACTCCCAACCACTGTGCCACCAGGGAAGCCGGGTCTCCTTCTTTATTTTTTTAACTTTTTAAAATTAGTAGCAGCATATTATTACTATAATTACTCTTGGTGGTGATTCGCCTTTATTGTTGTTGTTTTTTTTTCCATTATGTTTTACTACAGGATATTGAATATAGTTCCCCGTGCTATACAATAGGACCTTGTTGTTTATCCATTTGGGTCTCCTTCTTTAAAAGGCCTTCTGTGACCTCCTCATTTAAATTGTCTCTCATGGATCTCAGGGGGATTTTCTCTTAGGATATCTCAATTTTCAGTTCCTATGTGCCTGGGACTTGGTAATAATAATAGCAGACATTCATTGATGCCAATTCTGCACCAGGCCCTCCTCTAAGAGTTACACGTGTCTTCAGCAACTCATTGCATCCTCACAACTACTCTGTGAAGTAGATCCTATTATTATCCCCATTTTACAGATTAGGCAGTAGAGGCCCAGACAGGGCCAGACACTCATTTTGGGTGGCTCAGCTTGTAAGTGGAAAAGCCGGGATAGGAGCCCAGGTGGTCTGCCTCTTGGGTTTTACCTGCTCAATAGATAACGTGTTCAATAAATGTTGAACAAATGAAGTTTTCACTACATTTTGGGTTATTTTCTGAAGAATAGTTTTGTTTTTTTGGGAATCAACTTTATTGATTCATTTAAAAACGGTGCAACCTCAAACAAAGGAGGTACTGCTAAAAGCTCAGTTGGGTGAGGCAGATTAAGCCTTTTGCTTAAATCCTCACCATAAATCTTTGAATTATGAAATTTGCCACCCCTTGCCTCTGGAATACTGTGACTAACATAGACAGAGGCAGATTTTGTCTAGTCCAGAAGAAGAGAGCAAGATAGAGAGAATAGAGAGAATATTATATCTGAGTGAAGGAAGAGAAAAAAGGATGTCCTGGATCCTTCTTTGAAACAAATGAGTAAAAGGTGGTCACATTTTACTAACGATCAACCAGGTTACACATTCTTCTCCTTTGGGGAGGATGTGTTAAGAAGATAAAAACCTTAATAGAAATTTCCTCTCTTGTTGTCTAAGGCTTGACTATGGGGAGAAATCAAGAGTCCTTCCAATCCGGAACATGCTCTTGCAGTATTTCTGTCCTATTAGCCTATTTGCATAAAAATCTTAGTTGGTTTTAGAAGAGCAAAGCATTTATTCAGAGTTTCCATTTCGTGGTTCAATTCTCCTCTGCTGCTACTTTGGCAATCTCCATTGGTCTTTAAATTGTTACTTTTTTTGTTTTCAAGAATAATTTGCTAAATGTGAGGTGACTGGGGAAAGAGCTGTTGACAGTCTGTGCTTCCTGCAACCAGAGTGTTTTCCCCAAGGGCTGTACAACCGAGTCCCACCCCCTGTTAATTGTCTGTTCTGGAACTCCTGCCAGCACAAGGAGCAGCGGAGGGAGCGGCTGTCCATCGCTGAAGCCTTCGGGGCGGCTGAGGATGCTCGCCAGTACATGGGCCAGTGGCGGAGCCTGGTGGCCGAGCACAGCGCCGCCCTGGAGGAGCTGCAGGAGCGCCTGGACCAGGCTGCCCTGGACGAGCTCAGGGCCCTGACCCTCTCACTGTCCGAGAAAGCCACAGAGCAGCTGCGGCGGCTGCAGAACTCGGTGATGACCCAGGAGCTGCTCAAGCGCGGGGTCCCCTGGCTCTTCCTGCAGCAGATCCTGGAGGAGCACAGCAGGGACCTGGCCGCCCGGGCCGAGCGGCTCGAGGGCGAGGAGAGGGAGAGGGGCCAGGAGGGCATCCAGGGCGTGAGGCAGAGACTGAAGGACGATGCTCTGGAGGCCTCCACGGAGGAGCAGGCGGAGCTGAGACACTGGGAGCACTTGATCTTCACGTGAGTTTTAATCCCTGTGTGTTTTCATCGCCTCCCCTCCTCCCACTGGTGGGGGAGGGATTCCACCGCCTGGTTACGGGCATGGCCAGACACGTGCCATCTGACGCTGGACAGCAGTGTTTTAGTCACTTACACCCACAGTCCAGGGAAGACGGGCAGTGCATGTCCCCCCAGGGCCACTCAGGGGTTGCAGAGCAAACAACCAGGGCTCGTGGGAGGCAGGCTTTGTATTTGGGTTGGCCAAAAAGTTCGGGTTTTTCACGTGAGGGGGGAAACGAACACACTTTTTGGCCAATGCAAAAGCAACAGGAGGGTGAGGTGCCCCCTGGTTCCCGTGGGAGGATGTGATGGGCTTGTTTGCAGAATTACAGGCTGGCAGGGAACTGAAACCCACTGCTCATGAGTAAGCGGGAATTGCGCCTGGTCCCCGTGATGAGAAGTGTTGTGTGAAGAGGGGAGCTTGTCCACCGGAGCAGGGTGGGGAGGGGAACTTATAGTTAAGCCACATGAGGCCCTCCCTGTGTCAGCAGATGTCGGGGAGCACATGGTAGTGGGCCTTCATTCCAGGCCTTATGGCCCGCTGCACCATCTCTTTACGGGGCCCCTTCATTCATTGAATTCAAGAACCATGGAATAACATCCATTTCTGACTAGGATGCTGTAAGCCATGGCCCGCCAGCAATCCTGGTGTAATAATTTTAAAATAATGGATAAATTGCACCACTAATGTTTTTAAAGCCATTGGAGAGGTATGGAAGCAATGAGGACAAGTTAAAATCAAATTCCAGAGGGGCCACTGTTGACAGTCCTTCACTCCCCTGCAGCATTCACCAGCTCTTTGTGCAGACTGAGATTTGCTGTGGCCCAAAAGGGGCCACCAGCTGTGTGATAGACACCAGCAAAGCTTTGGCAACTGTTTAGGGCTGGCACGTTAGATTGGAAACTGGAGGAGCCTTGAACACGGCCCACGTGGGGCTACAGAGAGGAATGAAATGTGGGCAGTGTAGACCAAAAACCTGCGTTTAAATCCCAGCACTGCCACCAACTGTCTGAGTGTAGGCAAGTTACTTAACTTCTCTGAGCCTCATCTTTCTTGCCTGTAGAATGGGATGGCAATGATAAGTCACTTACGGTGCTTTCAGCAGCACGTGATACTATTGGGTTGTTAGAAGGTAAAGAAAGCATTTTATAAGAAGTCGGGGGGTAAATTTTCTAGTTTTGATTCCATGACCCAATGATACTATCAAGGATCCAGCCCTTAACATCCTTCTGCTCCACTATACTCAGTGTGCTAATTTGGTCTTTGGGCTCAGCCCCACATGGTTTCAGGATGGCTGCTGCAGCTCCAGGTGTCACATACATCATCTCTTTTTTTTTTTTTGTGGTACGCGGGCCTATCACTGCTGTGGCCTCTCCCGTTGTGGAGCACAGGCTCCGGACGCGCAGGCTCGGCGGCCATGGCTCACGGGCCCAGCCACTCCGCGGCATGTGGGATCTTCCCGGACCGGAGCACGAACCCGTGTCCCCTGCATCGGCAGGTGGACTCTCAACCACTGCGCCACCAGGGAAGCCCTATGTCAGTCTTTTAACACAACCCTTGGTCTGCAATAAGTGGATGATAAGAGGTAGCTGCTCTCATCACCACCATCATTCCTGTGCTGGAAGAACTCAGATTATCAGGAGGAAAACAGACACATAAATAGATGATGGTGGTACACAAAGCAGGAGTAATTAACCAGGTAACCATATGGAGGATTAGGATCCTTACCAAGCTCTGAAGTGGTGCCGGCCACTGACCTGGTACTGGGAGCCAGAGACAAGGGGACACTACCCACTGTTGCCTTGCTGAGGCGGCGCAAGACTAGGCGGTGGAACAGCTGGGTGGATCCTTGTCTGGGTGTGAAGAGGGGAGACCAGTCTCACCGCATGAAAGACACAATCAAACCCCCCAGCAACAGCAGCGCAGTGAAGATGAACAGTAACCTCCATCTTCCCAGTCTGTTTATTTAGAGTAGTGTAGACTGTTTACACATAAGGGCGTAACTGTGCCCGTTTGGCTATAACATAGCGCTCTTTTCCTTTTAACCAACGGACCCACCCATCAATATTCCTTAAAGGAACCAACCAACCCAGAAAACACTATTGAAGCGAATAAACAAAACCAAAGCCCTTTGACTATTCTTTCCTCGGTATGGCCACTCCACAGTTCAATTTGGATTTTAGCCACAATTTCAATTCTGAATTGAATTGAAGCCCTTTTGATTAGAAAAGGTTGCATCGACATAGGCTTATGGAGGGGGTGTTGGGGGTGGGCGTTGGGGGAGGGTAGAGGAAGGCGTCCTTCTCAGTCTGTCTGCTCGGTCCATCTGTCCCCCTCCTCTATTGATCCTGCATGCTGCTCGCTGGACGTCAGTGGTCCTCCCCATCTGCACCGAGGCCTGAGCTCTCCTTGAACCCTTTCAGGGATACGAAATAGCAGAGCATCGTTCTGCAGTGCCCATCCTTCCTTGGTGGCAGTTACATCCCATGGAACAAGGTCTTCCTGGCCTCAAGGATGCAGTGCCTCCTCCTTAAGTGCTCATTCCCAGGGACTGACCTTGCTGCCAGGGAGGAGAGGTCCCAGGTGTTCGCAGAGGGTGAGATTGTCTTGGTTTAGATGAAGTGACCTCTCGCCTCCTTCTCATCTCTCTTTCTTTATGGTTCTGTCCTTGTTTAGTTCACAATCTTTGTTAGTTTTTTGTTTTCTTGAACAAACAAGATGCTGTCTTCTCCAAGCCCATACAAATCAGATCCTTAAATGCCACTTCTTATTCCCACCAGTTGTTCTCAGCAGCAATTATTCAGCTCAATCTACATTCGACCAAAGTCTCTTTGCTCGATCCAGCCTGCTTTGGGCTCTTCAAAGTGTGTGGATTGGACATGACATTCCCATTATTGGATGGTCATCTTCTTTGATTCATGTGGTTCCATTTTGCAGGGAGTATTATTAAAGCAGCCGCCGATTGAGTCGTTCAACAGGAAAAGAGAGATCTCACTTTGGTATCAGAAAGCTCTTTATGATTTTCCTAAGGGTTAAAGGGGGTCAACTAACAATACACACAATCTGAGTCTGCTTATATACTTTGCTTAAGACCCTAAAAGATTGTAGCCTTTATTTCTGAGGCATTAAGTAGAAATGGCTTTGCACAATAGTTTTGAAACATATTTTTATAAGCTTCTCAATTTCAAGCAAGAGAGAGTTGCTATAAACCTGGTCCTATAAAATAAGAATTAATAAGGATGCATATTTTGCCAGGGAAAGTGTCTTTGAGACCTTTTTGCTAAACTCCTGCCTGGATTTTAAATTCCTTCAGGGCAAAGACCCTATCTCCTATATTTCTGTATTATCTTGGTGCCTACCTAGTGGAGGATTAAAGCCAGACCACCCTGGGCCAATCTGGTTTGAAGATGGGCAAGAATAAAAACTCAGATTCATTTCAGAGTTGCTTTCACCTTGGAGTCCACGTAAGCAGCAAACACGTGGGGCAAAGATTCTCCACGAGGGAAGGTACAAAGGAACAGCTACAGTTTCCTTAAGTGCTTCAGAAAAATTGGTGAGTCCTAGGGAACCCAAGACATGGGCTTGGGGCCTTCAGACCGCTTCTGTCTGGGGGCCCAAGTCAGCCCTTTCGGTCTTATTCTGTTTCCACGAGAGAACTTTCTAGGTGAGCTGATGTCCCACAGGCCCACATGAAGATTTTTTGAGTGACCAATGAACAGACACATGTTGCCCAAAGCAGGACAGAAGAGATGGCCTCCCTCTAGATGCTGTCTCCTGGGTCAGGGAGGACGTTCCGTCCAGAAGTCCCAGCAGACCTCCTCTTCCGTCTCGTTGGCCAGACTGGATCCCCAGAGGTGGGAAAGAGAGCCTGTGGCCGTTCTCCCCCGTAGAGTGGCTGTAGGCCTTGCCTGGGAGGAAGAGGGGGACATTCCTTAATTTCCTAATTTGTGGGCTTCCCTGGTGGCGCAGTGGTTGAGAGTCCGCCTGCCGATGCAGGGGACGCAGGGAGTCGTTCAACAGGAAAAGAGAGATCTCACTTTGGTATCAGAAAGCTCTTTATGATTTTCCTAAGGGTTAAAGGGGGTCAACTAACAATACACACAATCTGAGTCTGCTTATATACTTTGCTTAAGACCCTAAAAGATTGTAGCCTTTATTTCTGAGGCATTAAGTAGAAATGGCTTTGCACAATAGTTTTGAAACATATTTTTATAAGCTTCTCAATTTCAAGCAAGAGAGAGTTGCTATAAACCTGGTCCTATAAAATAAGAATTAATAAGGATGCATATTTTGCCAGGGAAAGTGTCTTTGAGACCTTTTTGCTAAACTCCTGCCTGGATTTTAAATTCCTTCAGGGCAAAGACCCTATCTCCTATATTTCTGTATTATCTTGGTGCCTACCTAGTGGAGGATTAAAGCCAGACCACCCTGGGCCAATCTGGTTTGAAGATGGGCAAGAATAAAAACTCAGATTCATTTCAGAGTTGCTTTCACCTTGGAGTCCACGTAAGCAGCAAACACGTGGGGCAAAGATTCTCCACGAGGGAAGGTACAAAGGAACAGCTACAGTTTCCTTAAGTGCTTCAGAAAAATTGGTGAGTCCTAGGGAACCCAAGACATGGGCTTGGGGCCTTCAGACCGCTTCTGTCTGGGGGCCCAAGTCAGCCCTTTCGGTCTTATTCTGTTTCCACGAGAGAACTTTCTAGGTGAGCTGATGTCCCACAGGCCCACATGAAGATTTTTTGAGTGACCAATGAACAGACACATGTTGCCCAAAGCAGGACAGAAGAGATGGCCTCCCTCTAGATGCTGTCTCCTGGGTCAGGGAGGACGTTCCGTCCAGAAGTCCCAGCAGACCTCCTCTTCCGTCTCGTTGGCCAGACTGGATCCCCAGAGGTGGGAAAGAGAGCCTGTGGCCGTTCTCCCCCGTAGAGTGGCTGTAGGCCTTGCCTGGGAGGAAGAGGGGGACATTCCTTAATTTCCTAATTTGTGGGCTTCCCTGGTGGCGCAGTGGTTGAGAGTCCGCCTGCCGATGCAGGGGACGCAGGTTTGTGCCCCGGTCTGGGAAGATCCCACATGCCGCGGAGCGGCTGGGCCCGTGAGCCATGGCCGCTGAGCCTGTGCGTCCGGAGCCTGTGCTCCGCAACGGGAGAGGCCACAACAGTGAGAGGCCCGCATACCGCAAAAAAAAAAAAAAAAAAATTTCCTCATTTGTAAATTGAGGATTGAGTTGCCAAAGGATTAGTGAGGATGCAGGTAAATGTTTCCTGGGGCTGGCATAATAAAGCACCACAGGCCAGGGGCTTTAAAACAACAAAAATGTATTGTCTCCCAGTTCTGGAGGCCAGAAGTCCAAATCAAGGTGTTGGCAGGGTCATGCTCTGTCTGAAGTTTCCAGGAGAGAATCTGATCCCCACCTTGCTCTTAGCTTCTGCTGTTGCTACAATCCTCAGCACTTGTTGGCTTGTAGACCCATCATCACATGGCCTTCTTGTGTGTGTGTCTTCTCTTCTTTGAAGGACACCAGTCATATTGGATTAAGCGTCCACCCTATTGCAATATGACCCCATCTTAACTTACTTCTAAACTGCCTCCGCAAAGACCCTGTTTCCAAATATGATCACGTTCAGAGGTACCAGGGGTTAGGACTTGAACATATCTTTTGGGAGGTCACAGTCAGCCCCTAACGGTAAATCACTCTGCATGGTTTCCAGCACGGAATAGGTTTTCCCTAAATGAGAGCTGTCGCTCATCATCCTATAAAGACCCAGCACAAGGCCGCCCTTCCCCATGACCTGCCGAGTTGGGCATCTCTCCTGGGCTGCTGGTCCCTACTTACAGTCAGCGGCTGGCCAGGCCCGGTGGACAGTTCTTTGTCTTCGTGTCTGTTCTAAACGGAGACAGGCTCTCTTCAAGGTCATGAGCGCCGGGACGCCTGTTGCCTGCTCCCAGGCTTGTCTCATTCAACTCTGAATTCTTAGCTCCGATATGATGTTGTGTCTATCATGACACACATTAGATGCTCAAGAAATCCTTGTGGAATGAACGCCCGATTAAGGAGATGGTGTTTTTTTTTCCAGACGTGGATTTGACTAGTGGAGTTTGAGCTTTGAATTTACACTTTCCCCCCAGCACAACCCACACTGTCTTCTCTCCACTAAACCGTATCACTGTCCTTGCTTTTCCAGGAAGCTCTGGTCCTCTGCCTTCTCCCTGTCCGAAGAGGAGCTGCTCGGGATGAGGCAGGAAGTTCACGGCTGCTTTGCTCAGATGGACAGGAGCTTGGCCCTTCCCAAAATCCGGGCCCGAGTCCTGCTGCAGCAATTTCAAACCGCATGGCGAGAAGCAGAGTTCCTGAAATTGGACCAGGCGCTGGCCGCCCCTGAGCTGCAGGTAGGATGGGCATCTCGGGGCCTCGTGGGTGCAGAAGCGGGGCCTCCTCTGGCAGTTGATACTGTAGGATCTGGCTCTGCCACCCACCCTCAGCTCATCTCCCACCCTCTCCTCTCTGGCTCTGTTGGCGTCAGCCGTTCCTGGAAGCACCTTAAGTTCTGTAGTGGACACACTGGTACCTGGACTTTGCACTGTCCACCAGTGGCCCTGAGTCTCTGCCACTCACGGCTCACAGCTGTGCCCCTCTCCTGAGCATTCCCCTCAGCGATGGGAGCCACCTGCCCTGAAAGGTGACTCTTCCTCCTGCCCCCTCCCTTGGCCACAGCCAGTGACCCCCCTCAGAGTACTTCTGTAAGTGGCACAAGGAGGATGCTCAGCTCAGGTGGAAAAGGGCATCTCTCACCCTGGGCCTCGGAGGGTGATGATTGACAGATGCCTGTGGTGAGCAGGTGTTATGGGCCACAGACGAGGCAACTCTTGGGTGCAGGGTTTACTCTGGAGCCCCTTATGGACCAGTCAAGGCCAGACGCTACCTGAGACCTCCACCGTGCGTGGCCCTTTCCCCCTCCTGTCCTGGTTCCCTCACCCGCTACGCCTTGCTCAGAGGTCCTCTCTCCGGAAACTGCATGCACCCCAGTCCCTGCCTCCGGCTCTGCCTCTGGGGAATCCCACCTGAGACAAGGCCTTTGAACTTGCTGTTTCCTCTGCCAAGAACATCACAGGGCCAGCTCTTTATGGTCTCGTCACATCTCAGTTCAGATGTGTCACCTGCACAGTGGTCTTCCCTGACCGCTATCCAAGATCACCACTTTCCCAGGCGTCCTTTATCACATGCTGCATTCCCGCTTCTTCAGAGAATTGATTGCTATCTGCAATGTCCTGGTCTCTCGACTTACGGTCTGTGCTCCCACTGCCAACAAGCTCCCTGTTTGTAGTTCCCACTCACCACTCCATCCCAGCACCTAGAAGGCGCCTGGTGCATAATAGGTGTGCAATGAATTTTATTGACTGAACCAACCAACCACCGGATGTGGGTGGAATGCGGGGACTTCCCTTGAGTTGATATTATGTTGAGATTGAAAACAATTCGAATCACTTACACTTCCAGTAGCTCATCTGTGGTTCACAGCAGGGCCAGGAGGTAGAGATTTTGTCCCCATTCTACAGATGAAAGCACCAGCCAGCAGAGGAAAAGTGATTGACCGACGTAGGAGGACGTAGAAGGACTCGTCTTGGAGCTGGTGCTTTCTGACTTTAAACCTGCTGCTTCTCCTGGAGGAGAAAACAAAATTTGGGCACATCTTTGGTGCTCTCTGCCCAGCTATAAGTTCTACCATGATCTCAAGACCCCCTGTGGTCTGACCCCGATCAGTCACGCGCTGGTAAACTGACTCTCATTGGGGGTTCAGAGTTCCTGATTTGTAGCATTTGCCTATTTCCCTGGTGTAAATACTCCTTCCAAGGCCAATTTCAGGCTACTGACTTGACATCGCTGTGCGTGGGGCTGGGAGGGATGCACACGATCTGCCCCACCCCCGCCCCACTCTGGCTTCCCCCTCTTCCAGTGCCAGTCCTTGCTCTGGGCTTCAGAGTCTTACCCACCAGCCTAGCTCTGTTCCTAAGAGGGGTTGACCCCCAATTTCCTCTTTTTGGTATTATGACCATTAGATCAGGAGATAAAAACTATAGTTCACTCATGGCATTAGCTGAGCCCAGCCCGAGTTTTTGAAGACATTGGGTGCAGGAGTCAGGAAGCTCACCATCTAGTTCTTAGGGCTCCCATGATGTGGCTGAGGCCACCGATTCTGTTCTGGCCTCAGTCTCCTCCTCTGTCAAATGGGGGTCTCCGAACTCAGTGAATTGCTGTGTACGTGCTTGCTTCCTCTGAGTGCGCTGGGGCAGGCCCTGAGGACATGGGAGGTCTTCTCTTGCATTATCACCATGGCCATAGGCGCCGGGTCAGAGTCTGGTGGGCAGGCCTGAGTCCAGGTCTAGAGCAGGCTCTGGGAGATCATGACAGTGAAAGAGTGGAGGAAGGGTGGGTATGTGAGCCGGGAAGGGAGGAGGACTGGCCCTCATGGGGAGTGACCACCAGCCACGTATTGCACCAGGCATCTTAGATGTGGTGTGTGTTGTGTTGGTCATGCTACATTATGCTGTACTGCATGGTGTTTTGTTTTGCTATGTTATGTTATGTCATGTCCTATTGTTATATTCTCATTTATGCTACATTCCGTTATAGCATGTTGTTATGTTCTATCGTGTTGTGTTACAGTATGCTGTATTGTTATATTTTTCTGTTTATTATGTTACATTTATGTTCCATTGTGTTATGGTCTTGCGGTAATCCTATGAGGTAGGTATCATTAGCTCCATTTTACAGGTCTGGAAACTGAGGCTCAGAGAGTGTAGCATCTGCTACACTCATTCATTCATTTGCTGAATATCAATTTACTGAGCACCTACAACCTCTTCTCTTTTTTAATTATTTATTTTATTTATTTCTTTTCTTTCTCTTTTTTTTTCTCTGGCTGTGTTGGGTCTTCGCTATGGAAGCGCGGGCTTCTCTTTGTGGCGTGCGGGCTCCGGGCAGGCTCCAGAGCGCGTACGTGGGCTCTGTAGTTCTTGTGGTATATGGACTCTCTCATTGAGGCGTGCGAGCTCAGTAGTTGTGTTACGCAGGCTTTGTCGCCCCGCCACCTGTGGGATCTTAGTTCCCTGACCAGGGATCGAATCTGGGTCCCCTGCGTTGGAAGGCGGATTCTTTACCACTGGAGCACCAGGGAAGTCCCACACAACCTCTTCTTTGACCCCTCTCACCCTTGCTCTGGGCCTCAGGTCTTCAGGGTCTGGAACCTTCTATTCCCACATTTTCACACTCCTGACACCTTGTCATGCGGGGCTCTGCTGCAATGTCACTTCTTTACATTTGTGAGAAGCTGGTATGTGTGTGTAGGTTGTGCAGACTGTTATTCTAGGAGGATGGTATGTGTTAAAGCCCACGCATAATGCCTCCTTGAATGCATGCGTACGGATGTCCTCAGCAGCCGTTCACCTCTGCAGGCGTGTCCCCATCCGCCTAATGTAAGATAATAGCCAGCATGCTTATTCCGTCTCCTTGTCTTCATGGCACTCACCAACCCTCTGAGAGTGTCTTGGTCAGTTATTTGTTTTCATGTTTGCTGATTTTTTCCTCCGCTATTTTGTCAGCCTCCCAAGGACAAGGACCTCTTCCGTCCTGTGCCTGCTCACAGAGGCTGACAGGTTGAGGTCCCCCACTGGAGAGGAGGTGGACGCAGGTGGGGCCGCTATCTGTCTGACTGCAAAGCTCCGGCTCTGCCCACGAGCACCCCTCGCCTCCCTTTGGCGGGACAAGCTCCCAAAGTATGCCAAGACCGAAGGCCCATGAACGGAGTCCATTCCAGGAGAGTGTTCATCTCTCCTCCCCTCCCTGGCTAAGACAGCTGTGCGGTGCCAGGAGCTGCAGGAGCCTCTCTGGGCTTGGGGAGACCAGGGGATGCACCAACCTACTGGCGATCACTTTCTCGCCCATGTTTTCTCCCCTCTCTCCAGCCACAGTCCAAGGCAAGGAAGCCACGCTCCAAGAGCAAAAGCAAGACAGACCTTTTAAAGAAGTGCACTGAAGAAAAAATTCAGCTCTTTGAGGAACAGGCCCCCGAAGACCTGGTTGAAAAGGTCAGTGTTCCATCTGTCACTCCTCATAGCACATGGCAGGGCTGGCAGCCGCCCAGTTTAAGGGCACACAGAGCCCTTGGGGGCTGTGACTGTCCATCTCCACCCAGCACCTGTTTTTTTCTTTTTACCGTCTTTATTGGAGTATAATTGCTTTACAATGGTGTGTTAGTTTCTGCTGTATAACAAAGTGAACCAGCTCTACATATACACATATCCCCGTATCTCCTCCCTCTTGAGTCTCCCTCCCACCCTCCCTATCCCACCCCTCTAGTTGGTCACAGAGCACAGAGCTGATCTCCCTGTGCTCTGCAGCTGCTTGCCACTAGCTCTCTATTTTGCATTTGGTAGTGTATATATGTCCATGCCACTCTCTCACTTCGCCCCAGCTTCCCCTTCCTCCTCCCCGCAGCACCTGGTTTTTACATTGTGTTCCTGCAGGTGGGACCCGCCGCCC